GTAATTTTATTTCTCTGAAGTACTTTTAGGAAAAAGAAACAAGTGATGATGAATTACATCGTATATCGAAGAGTTATTCGCATGAATCTATTCGTTTCATTCCAGTAAATGAACATGAAGTAAACTCAATAGATTTATGATAATAAAAAAAAATGAATTCCTTCGATTGTTTTAGGAAGATGGAACAGCAAACAATGTAATAGCTCGTCGAGCAACATCAACACCAACAGAAAATGAAAATCAACAACAATCAAATATGCAATCATTAGGAATAACTAAACAAATTAATCAAGTATTAAATGATATGAAAAATTTATTAACACATGGACGTGAAGTTGTTATTAAACATGAAGAAGATTTAATTCCAGAACGAGATTTTAAAGTACGAGAAACAAGTAAATCACGACGTTCAAAAAAAGAACGAGCAACTGTTGTAGATATTAAACAGAATTAGGTCAGATTATGATTTTTTTTTTGTTGAAAGCTCACTATATTTGATATTATTAGCACATTTGGATAAACTGTTTTTTGTTTTTGGTTATAAACGAAAACTCTTAGTAGATTATAACATAGTTGTATTTGAAAAATATTAAATAAAATGAAAATATCTCTTATGATCTTTGTTAGAGATCTGAACCTTCACTTTTCATTTCAATTATTATTATTATTATATTTGTTTTTCGGCTTGTTCAAAGCTACAAGTATATACCGTATTTGATCAATAATAATAGAGAACAAAATTATTGCAACTTACGTTTTAAATTATACTGAATATAATTTTTACTATTGTCCATTTTAGGATTAAATGCTTGTGCACATTTTTTGAATAACTTTTAAACAAAAAGAGAGAAATAACTTGAGTTTTTCGTACTATCTAGAGTCAAAGGTGCTCTATCTTTTTACAAAAATTGATGGAAAGTTTCATTTCATTTTCTTCTTCAATACATTCTAAGTTTTCGTAGATGAGGTTAATTCGTTTTGAAAAGAATTTTCTTTTTCAACAGTCATAGAATTAAAATGTAGTTTAATGTCTCCTCTATCGATTTGCGTAAGGTCAAGATCGATAATGGTATCCGTTCAAAAGATATAAGGATTATACTGAAGGTTACTCACCAAAGTTTTTCAAAATCTAAGCAGCTAATAAAAATATTTTCTTCTATTAGTTTTTAGTTGCCTTTAACTTCATGAGATGATTTATTAACCTTTGAAGTTTTCGAAAATATATATGAGTTTTGCAGAAACAATTATAACAAATAAACTCTCATCATCTTCTATGTGCCATTGTTTTAACTAAAAAAATAATTCTACATTATTCATTGTTTGTTTATTATAATTTTTATTTTATTACAATTCACATAACAAAGATATCCTTCGGTAAATCACTACCTATTTCAAATGTTGCCCATTTTTTTTCAGGTGTATTATTAAAAACTTGTTCTAAACGTTGTTGACCAATTGTATCATTTTTATATTTTCGAATAAAAATTTTTTCTATTCGATTAGGATATTTCATATAAATACTTGCATATATTTCAGGATCTTTTTGAAATATATCACCTAGTAAAATGAATATACGCTTTGATGTATTATTTAAAAACATTGATATTGTTTCTGTTTTACTAGTGATATAACTATTAGACATGAAAAATGAAATAAAGTTCTTATCAAACCATGTAAAATGACGCATATGAAATGAACCTAATGGATATATTTCACGATTGAAAAATTCACGTAAAAATGGATAAAGTTGATCTGGTGATGCTGTTAAATATGCAAATGTTGCGTTATACTTTTTTTGCCAATATCGATATATATCGGGCATACCGGTAACAGATTTATAATTATCAGTAAAAGTATTCTGAAGTGTTTCTTTTGATGATGTAACACCCGTAATTTTAATTGTATCATCAATATCACTTAGAAATGTTATACCATCATCATCACATAAATAAACTTCACCTATAAAAATAAACATGAAAACACATTTATCTATACAATTCGATTTCTAAATAATCTTACCCGTAGCTCGAATATTTTTGTTTACTACTGATAGTTGATAAAGTATTTTAGCACCATTACCATCAGATTGAACTAATCGATCAATTTCATTTTCACTAATTTGAAATGTATTTTTAATTCTACCTTCATCATCGGTATATGTACAAATCGATTGATTGAAATTAAAAATACATAGATTTTCATTTTCTTGTCCATCAGCAGTGAATAATTTAATACGATTTATATCTAAGTCTTTTCCAATAACTTTTTCTAATGTGTTTTCCAATAGTTCCGCTTGTAGAGGATCTTCTTTATAATACCATCCATGATTCGATAAAATCCAATCTGTTGAAGATATTTTTGAATGATCTCGAAAAGCAACTGATGGTAAAAGAATTAGATCTTTTTTACTATCAAATATAAATCCATCAATTCTTGTTATGAAAACAAGAATAAGATAAACAATAAGATCAACCATAAATACTTGTTATTGTGTACAAATGGTTGAATTTGTATGCTGTGACGTATATATATACTAATAGAAAAATTGCAAAAATGAGTCATTTGTATAACATGTACCTAATGAATAGTGTCTAACGCCCACTTATTCTTTCTTTATGTCAGTATATCTTAATGTGCATTTGATTATGTTTTTTAAATTTTACCATTAAATGAATCATTGAAGGCATCCATCTTCTTATTCTACATATAATAGCAATGAGTAATTCATTAATGATATGTAGGCTGTTACACATGGAAATAACAATTAATATTCTTTGTTTTTTTCTTAGAACTTTTTTTTGTACATTTGAAACTACGATTCACAAAAAAATTCATAGTATCTACAAAAATCATTATTTTACTTAAAAATCGTAAAAATGATGAACAATTATCATTTGTGGTCATATTTTGTAATAAGACAATCAATAGACAATAATTGTCCAATCGATTAAAAGTCTAATTGAAAATTTCCTTAGTTTTTTCTTCGTTCATTTTCGTTTCATGTCGATGTGTTTATCCTACTTATCATAAAGTATAAACTGTTATAGATTGGCTATACATATATGATTATAATACTCTAATTATCGTGCATCTACATTACAGTAAAATCTCTCCTAAATGAACATCATCGAGACTATTGAAAAGTGTTCATCTATGAGAGGTATCATATATTTTATTAGGAAATGAAAAAAAAGTTTCACAGTGTCAGCTTCTTTACTAGTTCCAAAATGATAAAAGACCATTCTCTGAGTTGTTTGTCTTCTTTCATTTGAATATTTATGAATCTAAAAAATGTTCAACAGAATATAAAACTTTGCTTCTTCTATTAAGTTCTATAATATGATTCCGATCTCGATATATGTGAATTTGATGAACATTGCTCTATAATTATTCTGAATACATATCAGCCTGTCCACATGTAATGAACTTACCCATTTTTCACCTTCTGATTGTTATAACCCGGTAAGTTAAAGCGACAAAGAGCTGAAACTCACACTGCAGCAAGATATATAAAAGTTCTAGCTTCACCAAAATATTCATTTCATTTGATCGAACTGCGAAGCTTCTAGACGGATAGAAAGTCGTGGTAAGGCACTCATTTAAAAGAACCTCTTCCGTCAGAGTCACTCAAAAGAGCTCACATTCCTAAAACTTTTCTTACTCTGAACAAAAATGCTTTTATCTATGCTTGAAGCTACGACAACAGACCTGATGATGGTGAAATGTTTTTTTTTTGGAAGATTGTTCCTACAAAGAGTTATCACCAAAATATTACGGTAACGCATTCATCCATTTTTTTTGAGCTCCTTGAAAAAGCATATATTTCTTTTTAGCTTTGACAACAGTAGAAGGTAATCCATTGTTGTCAAACTGAAGCTCAATTTTCGATAACACCACTATTATTTCCATTTTTTTGAAATGATAAAGTAGTATTCGAAGTATGATAATAGACAATAAGGCCCTTTTTTTCATCATTTGTACTCAAAAAATGCTTGATTTTGGCTGGCAACCACTATTTCTTGTTGTCATTATCTAAAACAAATGACATCAATTAACAGAGAATATACAAAAACCTATAAAAAAAAAATTTGAATGAATAAGTTCGGTCGTCTTATGTTCGAGAAATCTTCTGCTCAACTTTAATCAAGCATGGCTCTTTTTAACTTGACAGGCTGATATGTATTTATCAATTTTTATTACGCGAAAACTGTTGAATCTATTTTTAATAATTAATGTGATTTTGATTGTTTTCCATAATTATTTTAATATTCTTTTCTTGGTTTTAAAATATAGGATACAGAACCAAAAGAGATATTCGAATTTTCATTCCTAATATGCACAATTATAACAAAGAATGTTTAGTAGTTTTAGTGTATTAACTAGAAATGATGAAAAGGATAAGAAAAAGAAAAAGAAAAGGATATTCACCTTTGGAAGATGTATTTACAACAAAAGTCGCTTCACAAGATGTATTGACCAACAAAAGTTTCACTGTATTCACCGCAGAATTTTGTCACTTTACGTATATACAATCTTTTATTATAAGTAGTTAGTCATCTACTGTTTAGGAAATAATAGGAATATGAATAATATCATTTGTTACGATACAACCAAATATTGTATCGAGACAATTTTAGAAGTCAACTTCCTATTTATGCACATCCCTCATTTAACTTCTTACAATGAAACATAATTGAAAAAAATCATATAGCCTTTAGTATGAATGCAAATGAACAATAGATATATATAGTAATAAAGTATTTATATTAACTATATCGTTTCTCACATAGAATAATCAAAGGAAGAAAATTTTCGCTTACATAACATAGCAAAGAGTATCTTTATTTATTCTCCTATTGAAAATTTCAAACGTTTAGTTAATATGCATTCGTTCTATTCATATAGACATAATTATCCTTTTCTTTTCGTCTATTTCTTATTTCACATTTTTCCCCAGTTTTTTCGACGAACAGTAGTTTAAATAATTTGAAATATTAATCATGCCAGAGTTTGGCCAATGTGATGATCCATCATGTAATGAACAAGCTGTTCGTTTATTTGATTGTGCTCATCATTGCAAGAAAATGATTTGTCTTCAACATTTAATTGAACATGATCGTTTAGTTGAAAATAATAAACGACAATTAGAAATTGTTCAACTAGAACTTAAACGTCTTTACTCAATTTATTCATCATTAATTGATGAAGATAAAATTCGCTATGAATATGAACAAAAATTAAATGATTATCAAAAATTAGTAAATGAAGTTAATACTCTATTAGAAAATAATTCAAATGATATTGAACAATTTCGATTAGTTATTGAAAAACTAAAACAAACAATTAATGATAAACAAAAACAATCAAGCGATTCTTTGAGTAAGACTTTTTTTTTTTGTTTTGTCTTTTTGAAAATATATTGTATATTTTATTTCGTTTATTAGCTATTGTTAAAGTTGAACCGATTGAAGAGATCGCATCATCAACGACAATGGATTTAGAAAGTATGAGTTTTAAATATACAATACTGTCCAAAATTTTTTGAAAGATTTTTACTTAACTATTTCTTTCTTATAAAGTTGACTTTTGAGATGTATTTTGCATGACAAGTATACTGAGTTTTTACATTATGTCTAGAGAGTTTATCCCTACATATTGAATCATAGTAGAAGTGGACATATAACAATCCGAAATAGCCATTTTTTTTTTTTTATTGAGCACCATTTTGTGAACGATCTTTTAAGTTGATTTTCTTTTTACAACTGTTCAAAAAGAACTGAAACCATACGAATAGAAGAAGCAAAACACACGCAACATTTTGATGATAGATAACTGACACTGTTTATGTAAATTCTGTATGATTGTTATTACATCATGGCTAATTTTTCTTTTCAAATATCCTATTTAGAAAGAGCATCTGACGTAGGAAATTTTTCAGAACATGAACTTTCAAAATCAAAAAAGAAACATGTCTTAGGAAATTTTAAATCATGTTCTATCTTATGAAGTATCAGATGCTCTTTTGAATATAATATGTTGGAAAGACAAGTAAGTGATGATGTAGCAATGATAAAGAGTTCACATATACATTATTCAATTGTCGGTATCAAAATGTAGCTTGTGTTTTGGGTTCTTCTTGTATAGCTTAAGTTCTCTTGAACAATTATAAAAAAAATCAATTTGAAAGATTGTCCACAAAATATTGTTCAATCAAAAATTAACTACTTTGAATTCTGATATGTCCAGTTCTGGGATGACTCAACATGTAGGGATGAACTTTTACGTAGACATAGTATAACCATTGCATGTACTTGTGATGCGAAAGTCAACTTGATAAGACAGTTATAGTTAAATCAAAAATTTTTTAGAAGATGAATCATTATTTATTGGCTTTGATCGATTACAAAAGCAAGTTTTTGTTTATTCCTATGTTTTATCTCTATATCAATTGTTTTTATTTTGATAGTTTAATCATAGACTCTGATTATCATAGACGAAAAAGTAGATTCTTATTGTGAAAATCGACTTTTAATACATGTTTGATTTTAGGTATTGAAAATACAAACGCAAGAAACCAGTCAAACAAGTATTTAAATTCATACAAAAAGATTCCGCTTTGTTTTTTGTATTTTTCTCTTATAGTAAAACAACTATTGCCACCGATGATGATGATGATGATAACATTGTAAAAAGAATATTTGTAATCGTGTGCATATTTTCTATTCTTTTTTAGAACACAATTCTTCCAATGCATCGAATTGCTGGTCTATGTCCACTATGGATGAATGGCTCCTATGGTCTTAATCAAAAACATCATTTTCATCGTTTGTGTCGAAAAAAACGTTTCTCTGATTTAAGCAATCATATGCGTCAATATCATAGTTTATTAACACCTATTGCTAATATTATTGCAAGAGCTGTTGATTCGAAAATACCCGTTAGAAAACGTTTAATTCCGAATGATTTACAGGTTACTGATCCACGACGAAGTTTTTTTTGTCCATTACGTGTTGATTGTGAAAATCAATATTGGTTTTCAGCATCATCTCTTCGAACTCATCTTATTGATGTACATCATATGAATCAATCGATGGCAGAACTAAAAATTAAAAGAATAAAAATATTGAATAAAAATAAACCAATGTCAAAAATTAAAAATAGAATCTTGGAAATTATTAGAAAAATTGAATCAACAAGCGAAGGTCAAAAGTAAATATATAGTAAGTTAAGTGTATCACTTATGATTATTAGTTCGAATCTGGTACAAATTATAGTTGCTCATATAACTGGCTAAACTGTTTCTAAATAAGAAAGTTTAAGTTTAATTCAAAAGAGGAGACATACTAATTAATTTCCCATGGATATTTTCACGACATTGACAAGAACGAAAAAGAATTTGAGTTAGTTGTTCTTTAGCAATAGTATATGTTTAATGCTTGGCGAACATGCATAAAAAAAGATGGTCTGAAGAGATATAGACCAGTACGAAATGAAGCGTAATGACCAAATTAACAGTTCGAACTTACTCCTTGAGACAACGAATCTTTACTGATATAGTTAAAAGTAACGTTGAACATTGAACAAGACAGAGAAGTTGATCCCGTCATGGATCTAATATTTTGACAATTTTTGCATAATGTGCACCATCATAAGTAATTCGTGTTGAGAACGAAAGTGAATATGGAAATCTTCTTTTACCCTCAGCCTTGCATCTGTTTTATGAATACTAAATGAATATATGTTTCATTAATCGTATATCAACATAAGTATATTTTTTGTCCTGTTTAATGTCTTTTCCTATCGGATCTTGTGTTCAATTCTGGTTCGAAGATAATATATGCTGTCGAAGGACTTATGTAGATATTTTAAAAACCTAATGACTTTCAGAAGTCCTTCAAACTCTCAAATTCAATAGTTTCATATATCTTTTTATTATCTAACACATTCTATCATGACTAGAAATATGTTCTTTCATTTTAGAATTTCCAACGATCAAAACATGAGCAATGGTTAATGGTATGGAAACAAATGATTTCTAAAACTTGTTTCTTTGTTTTGTTAAATTGTTGCAGTGATAAAGAATAAGTATAACTGTGACTTAAGTTTTTTTGATTTTTGTTTTTTCAATATGCTATACATTAGCTACTGTACCGATTTAACATTCAATAAAAGAATTGTATGAATGTCATTGTTGAAACTAGTGTATTTATTTAAAGCATTTAATTGAATTTGTTGAAATAGCAAAGGGAGCAATTTTAAAACAGAGAAATAATTCTGTATCGTCCACAGGGAATTAGGAGTTGCTCTATATACACACGCATTCATTGTTGAAAAACAAATGCATGACATACAATGTCAAAAAAAAACGTATTTCATCAAGCAAAAATAATATGTAACATATGTAGTAATTTTAGTATCCGTCATCAAAAACTACTTTTAGACATCTAAAATATGTTATTGATGCTTTTTATTCAAAAGTATTGATTCTTTTTTTCAGTTTTATTTATTGTTTACGGAACTTCCTGATTCTATCTTAGTAGATAAGATATGGTGAAAGTTTGGCAAAAATCTTTCTTTTACAAATATTTGATTGGAGAAGTAATAGGCGACACGAACTTCCTGGTAAACAGATACAAAATTTAACTATTCGCAAACTTCTCTCCTAGTTTTAATTATAAAACGTTGACAGAGGAAAAGAGTTGATCGGCTATATTATGTAATTGAGAAGATGGCATTTATTTCTCACACAATTACTTACCTGACGGTGTTACGAAGGATAGATCGAACAGCAATAACTAGTGGCTGATTTAGCCTAGTTTAGTTCCTTATCGATACAGATTTTATTCCAAGCGGTCACTAACAGATCATTCAGTAACCATTATATGCTATCTTTAGTTCTGAGTATCTTGAAAGCATATATTATGAGAAAACCAACAGTGTCTTCATTGGATTATCCATTTTCGAAACAACAATTCGTCTGCAAATGTCGTTTATGATCAGATAAAGTTCATTGCACAAAATTTTGTCCAGAAATGATTTATTTCCTTACTTCGAATCTAAATAATATCTTGGAAAGCAAAGCACCTAAGAAAAGACATTGTCTTTGTTATGCATGCTCAATTGATGGATTCTTACTGTGGAAATATAAGTTTTTATTAAACTTTTAAAAATAATGCAGAAGTCTTATTTAATTGGAGTTAAAGTGCAAGTACTAAACTTCTTCTGTGACTGTTTTGGACTTGAAAAGAACATTGAAAATATGAAAATTGTTGCTGCAGAAAGTAGATGATATTCACTGAATGATATAAAGCAGCCTAAAAGTTTATTTTATTCGATTGTTTTAAATTAAAACTAACAAGAGTTCGTAGGAATTTGAATTCTTTATTTTCTGACTAGAAAACTGAGATAACTCTGTCTTTTTCAATATAATATTTGTAAAAGAAAAAATGTTGTAAATTTTCAGTTAAATTTAAAAGTTGTCTTCAGAAATTACTATTAACATTTGATGATGCTTTTTTTCTTAGCAAAACTAAACATTCCTTTAAACACTTTATTTTACTAAACAAATTCTGTAGACGTAAATCTTTGATCAATTCACACAAAATCATAAAGTACAATAGATATATATACTGGATTTTCATTTCGAACAACTTCTAATCATCCAGACTCGAAGGCATTTAAAATATTTAGTGAAAATTATCAATCATAAACGTAACAATTCATGTCTTTTTAGTCATAGTATGATCATGTTAAATGAATCCTCTCTAGTATAATTACGCAATAGATTGTGTTAACCTGAATTAAAAAGAAGATTCAAGTGTTAGCATTATATTTGACATAGGTATCACTAGTCAAATGACCAGAAAATTGTTCAAAAATAATTTCTTTGAATGATAAACGTGCTATCCCTTATTGGACCGCTTTTCTAATTATGATTATGAAAATGTTTTTATCGACATTGTTCTCTTCCTCGTTCTATAAAAGCATTATGTCAATATGTAGGATCACCACTAGTTCTTTTTGTTTTTTTGGGAAGTATTTTGTAATGAATATCCAAGATCATCCTAACTCTGTCTAAAGTTCTCCAGTGGTTCAATTTAATAATGAATTCCTAATGTATTTTTTTTCTGGATATCACTCAGCATTATTGAGAAGATAATCTTCAAGAACAATCGAACAGTTTTTTCCCTTTTTTTCTCTATGCATCGACCTCATGGTTGTCATGACCCGATTGTCGATTTATTAACATTTTTAAGCCAAGGTCATCAGGAATGCGACAAAAACATGTCGTCAGATTCTTCTAGTTTTCAGAAAAAATCCGTATGCAAAATCATTCATTGAGTGATCGAAGTTTTTTAAAATTATTTACGTTTCATGTGTAGAGATCATGGATCGAACTTGAGAAAGATAGACATAAAATTAAAAGTCTTAAGTCTACATAATTTTCTATATTCTAGCGGAATAATCGTAAATTGTGAATTATTTATCAATTAATTTGATTATCACAGTACATATGCGACATCTGAGCAGGTTGACGAAATGAACTTTTTTTTCTTCCTTGAATATTTGAACGAAAACTGATTTGCAATTTATTAGATATTATTTTGATTATTTAAACAAATAAATTTTGAAAAGTTCTCTATTACTATAATTTCAAATATAAAATCTACTGATTTGCCGATTAAGCATTCTGAATTTGAGACAACGTGTTATACTTGGGAAGAATAACATACGAGCATTTTTTTCATATTCAGTTCTATATCGGTCACTTTTATATCAATATAAATTTATATTTATTACAAGGTAAATATATATTTTCTTTTATCCATAAAATTAAAATTTATTATTTATTCTTCATCGCTAGGATAAGATATGCGGGCTAAGGTAAAATAAATTTTTCTGTTATTGAAATTTTCTAAAAGTATTTGTTTTTTTATAAATAGTGGCGTAAGAAACGAATGCGTCGTTTGAAACGTAAACGTCGTCGTATGCGTGAACGTAGCAAATAAATTTATTCTACAAAGACAATACAACATCCAAATTAACAAGAAAACATTTCATACATTAGTTGTTTTTTCTTTTTTTTTATTATTCTTATTTTAACATATAAAGAAATAATAAACAGTTCATTATTGTCTTGTTGATACATAAAATAAATTTATAAAATTAACATTGTTTATTCTATTAAAAATGTAGATGGCTTCTTCTACAAATCAATCACAACAACAACCAATTAATTATTCAGCTGATGCTCCAACTACAACAACTTCGAGTACAACAACAAAAACTTCAATAACTTTTGATGAAGATTTATTTCTTTTTCTACCTCGTCTTAGTGATATTCTTAAAAGGTACAAATATTATATTATATTAAAATATAATAAATTTCTTTTTTTTGTTTTTTAGTTTTGAAAAAAATCCAAGTGATTTAAAAGTAAAATTAGATGATATTCGAAAACAATTTGAATCATGTCATGATATGATATCACGAATTGAAGGTATTGATACAACAATTGATGATCAACGTTTAGAATTTGAAAGACTTGATAATGAACTTAAATCTAAAAGTGAATTACTTAAAAAACATATTCAAATGTGTAAATTTGATTTAAATATGCCACCAAAAATAAGACGTATATCATCGGAAGTTGAACAAGATTTAACAAATCAAACATTACGAAATCCAACAAATGCAATGAATATTAATGATGATGATGATGACGATGATGATGATGATCTTTTTCAATCAGATGATAATACTAATTTACAACAAGAAACAAATAATGAAAGTCTTTCTTCATTTTTCTCTTAATTATTGTCAGATTTATATTAGAAATATATATATTTGTGTAAATAAAGAAAAAATTCTTTCAAATGTTTTAGATTGTTTTTTTTTCTTTTTTTTGTAATTGACAATGGGTCGAATTGTTTTTATTGAAACAGATGTAATAACATCTCAATTAAATTCACTTCCAACAAATCGATTTTCTTTTGGTTTTATTTGTGGTCAATGTACTAAATTTGAACGTGATTATATTCATTATATAATTGATGGTATTACATCAAAACAAACTGATATTGATTCATTTTTTGATTCATCATCAACAAATAAAGAATTATGGTCAAAAATTATTGAAATAACATCATCATTATGTGCTGGTGTATCGATTATTGGTTTTTATTGTCGTGCAAAAAATGATCTATTAAAATCAACGAATTTTACATTAAAAATTCGACGTTTATTTGAAATTCTTCAAAGTGCATTACGTCTATATTCATCATGGAGTTTAGCACAATCATCACATCGAATTTTATTACAATCAGAATTTGGTAGTGGAGCAAATAAATGGTTAGTTAAAACAATGGATATGAATTCTGATAGTGTTCATTTTCGACCTGTTGAAATGAAAACTTATGATAGTAAAATAAATCCTACTTGGTGTATGACAACAACTATTCCAATACAATTTAATTTATGGCTTAATCCATTAACAAATGAAAATGATAATAATATTAAATTAATTGAAAATCAATTTGAACAACAATGGAAACAATATATAGAAAATCTTAAAGTAAATTAAGTTCAATATGTAAAATGAATTACAAAATATGTGTTGAGTTTTTGTATGAAATCAAGGCAAAGTCTTTATTAGAATGTATATCATCTTTACATGACACGAGAGAATCGTTTCTAAGCCCGAACTTAATATATAAGATAGACTTCTTTGAAATATGAAATGTTGAAAAAGGATCAAAGTTCTTAGAGCTTCCTGCCAGAGTTATAATCATTTCACTGAAATTTCAATCTATGATATGACATGTAGTAAGAAATTGAAAGACAATGTTTTGCTCACAGATAGGTCTATTTGTGACTAGAATATTCTGACTGAAAACAATTTTTCTTTCACACGACATTGAATTTTTCAAAAATTGTTCATATCCTGCAAACGATGTGAAAATTTCAAATTTTTGAAAATTCAATATCTTGTGAAAAAAAAACTTTCTTTCAAGCTGAAATTTTCAGAATATCCTAGTCACCAGTAGATCTATTTGTGGACGAAATATCGCCACTGAATTTCTTGGTACATACTATGCCATAAGTTAAAGTTTCAATAAAATCGCTATAACTTTGAAAAGAACTATCTTATGCATAGCTCCCGAAATCCGAAATGATGTATTGACTGAAACACGTCTTTCGCAAGTTTGTCAGTAGTAAGATCTTTATTCAGATAACAATTTCTTTTGTCATCCGTTTGATAAGGATAGATTCTACTGACTTATTTTTTAATTCATCGATGTTTTTCATTGAATATATTAAAAGTGAATTATTGTTTGATTTTGAAATATTTAGGAAAGTCTTTTATTAATGGATGATCGTTTATTATCATTGGATAGTTTAAAATTATCATCAAAAACAAGTCAAAATTCTGTTGATATTCAATGGTTATCACCAATTGATTCAACAATATCGAATGAATATTCAAATGAAAATCGTATTTGTTATAAATTTGATGGTAGTACAAGTCTTCGATTTTTTACATGCAGTTCCGAAACAACAGGAAATGATATACGACAATATTTTATTGAAGATATTTTTCGTTCAATTCTTATTCGTTTAAATTTAGCTCTTATTAATAATGAATCTAATAATATTGAAAATATTTTAATAAATAAATTAATTCTACCGCGTCGTATTTATATTAATCGACCTGTTTTTATTTCTGCTTATCAACTTATTCATGAACCATTATCAACAGTTATTGATTCATTACAAGAAAATTTTAAAATAACATCAGTTATGGAAGAAGATTTAGAAGCTGCTGAAGAATTTCCACCTGAAATAACAAATGATGAAAGACTAAAGCAATTTAATACTAATATGAATAACAATAATAATCAAGAAACTTCTATAATTCGAAAAAGCATATATCAAAATTTTTCTACAATGATTGTGAAACAGTTTGGTACTGGAAATACAATATTAGTCGTCTTAATTATTACAATACTTGTTTTACTAATTAGTATCATGATAAAACTTTTCACATAATCATATTCTTTTTATTTTTGTTTTAAAAATATTTGTCTTTATTGTTGTTGTTTTAAAGAAAATGTATACAAATTGGGGACATTGTTTGTCTTTATTTTAAAAAGCGAAAACAAAAAAACAATGAATGTTAGAAAAATATAAGATGTCAGACAAAGTATAGTACTTATACTACAGGCAAAAGATTTAGTTTTAATGTAAATGTCAGATGAAAATGAATAAGAAATGAGATTATGAAAAACAATGAAACTATGTTCCTTAAGTTATTTTGTTTTCTTTTCAATCGATTTTATGAATAACTATTGGCTTTTGATTATTGGTGTTAAGTCAACAAAATGCAACAAGTTGGAATAAGAAACTTTGTTATAATGAAACATCGGAAGCAGACATAAATAAAGACTAAGGAACTTGTGACAAAGACGATTTTTTTCCTTTTGCCAAAAACTCAACTTTGTCAGCAACTGCTTAGTTTCTGTACATGTCTAATTAGGAACTCCTTTTTTTAGTGATGAAATTCTTTTTCTTGTGGACAATATTACTTTAGGTCATTGTGTTAATCATGTTACAACTATTATTTGAAATACGAATGTGGTAGTCAATAAAAATTGTTCGTCATGATCAGAACCATTAACGGTTCAAATGTCTTTTATTTTTCATATCTTTCACCATTCTCAGTTCAAATCAAAAATAAATCTTCGATTAAATTTTCGCCGTGATACTCTAACCAACAAGTCTAAACTTTATTCACTTGTTGTAGTGAAGTTCGTCGTGGCTAAAACCTACAGCAATGATATTCAATAAAATGTTACGAGAATTACGCATAGAGATGTGCTGAACAAATGCTGTTATTATTAGTTCAAAAGATTTGTTCTATCCAAGATTTTTTTGTTTGTCAATATTGAAATTCGTTACAAATTTATGTAGTGTCTTGCAATATGGCTTAAGCCAGTTGTCACGGTTTCATCGTGTTGGCTATTTAAAAAATCTATCGCTACTGCACTACAATGCATATGCCTGATTCATTACTGTAGGTTTTTTTTGTAAAGGATGGAGTATTGTCTTATCAGAGAGTAAATTAATACCGTTAGGCTTATGATAGATAACAATAAACGCGTTATCTATTAATTAAACTATGTGCAGAAATGAGATTAACAAACCCAAATGACAGTTTTGTGTTCATGTGGAAGACAGTAAAAGAACTATACGAATAATTGTAAGCTACGATAATATAAATTCGATCACATAATAATTCAAACATCTTCTTATTTCTTAATAAAATTTAAAAAAAATAATGAAGGTCGTCCTTTACAGTATTTTGCGTCGAATAAATGCTAATTGGTTATTATTTGCATGATCAATTATGAAATACTGTACTCCGATGCTAATTTAGTTGTTGTTTATACACATGCTTCAATAGATATAGTGATTAGTTTTGTTTAATCGTCACTGAGTGGTTCATTAACTTAGTAATCTATATCCAGAATTCTATTACGAATTACTTGAGTAGTAGTATATTTAAATTATTTGAGTCGCTGGCACTGACATCTTATAAATTATAGCCGAAATACGCAACTTAATGCGTATAATCATATGAAGGACTCGTTCTATGTTGCATTGATGTTTTTTTTATATCTGAAAGCAAAGTCTTTTTCAAATAAATTAATAAATCATGATATTTTCTAAACATGAAATGATTCTGAAGATTCATCGAGGAAATATTAAATCATATTGATAGGAGTTATGTTTGATGAACAACAGTTCAATTTAATATATATTTGTACAGAATAGAATGGATGTAGATGTCAGCTAATGCTATTACTTCTCGAAATGGTACTCGAATTCAAATCACACTAAAATGTCCATGTCAACAGGACTATAATAAGAAAAAGCTCTATTATGTTCTATTTATTATTCTATAAAATAATATTTTTGAATAATTGCTTAGTGTTCTTTAATACTTTCTTTTTTTTGTTGCTTCTCTTCTCTATATATTTCTTTTCAATAGAGAAACCTGATAATTTATGTTTTATTTCTTTTATATATAATACAATCTGTATACACTCATACCACTCAAAACCTAATCTACGATAAATGATTCGATTTTCTCCTGTTATATGGATTTGTATTCTGGTGTTTGCTGCTTTGACAAAAATTGAAGGTAGTTATTTTCTTTGAAAAACCTAATTGAGTTTAATTTAAACTATTCTTAGCGGTCAAACAAATAAAGTGTGGAAAAAATGAAGTACTAGTAAATTGTGCTGAACCATGCCAACCTTCTTGCTCATGGACTAATCGACCGAAGTGTCCTACATTTGCTTGTTTACAAGGATGTGTATGTGCAAAAGACTATTTCCGTGCTACCAATCAAACGAGTAGTCCATGTATGAAATGTAACAAGAAAAGTATGCATTCGACAGTCATATCTCTTTGATATTTAATCTTTTCTTTCGTAGAGACTTGTGGCAGAAACGAAAAATTATCATATTGTGCTAATCCATGTCAATCGTCATGTTCATGGAAGAATCGCCCTCCTTGTCCAACATTTACTTGTTCAGCAGGTTGTATATGTGAAAAGAATTTTTATCGAGCAACAAATCAAACAAACAGTCCTTGTGTCAAATGTTCGAAAAAATAAAACTGATATACTTTTATGTGGCTTACGATGACTAAAATATCTAATTAAACAACCAAATAATAAATATCAAATATAGATAAGATTTTTATATACTAAGACATATATAATATTATTTAACTATGGTCTATTTTATTACGATAGTCCAATCGAAACAATGGATGTGACTTATGACTGATTTCAGTCATGCTTTGCTGTTTTCCTATGCATAGTATTACGATTGCAAACTGTGTAGTACTGCTGCATATACTATTGTTCCCGGTATTCTGCAGTCATTTACAGAGATTATCATCATCCGAAATTCGTCACTTTTGAAATGGAAAATAATGATTGACTAATTAGTTTTTCAAATCATTTACATTACCCTTATATCAAGTAACGATTGTGCATGAAGTCGTTAATTGGACTATATAAAATAGCAATAAAGCGCTCAACAATCTTGAGACATATGTAATATTCTTCGAATTAGTGGAGCGTGTAATATCAAATAATATTTTGAACAATAAGAAAGATAATTTAATGTTGAAATGCTTTTTTCTGTTGCTCTCTATCTCATGCAGGCAGTAATATTAAGAAAAGATTCATTATTGATAAAGAAAAATAACTATTGGTAACTTTTTTTGTGTTTTTTACTCTATTGCCACATAGAGATTATCAGTTTTTTTACTAGTTTTCGTCTTATTACACGATCAAGACATTTTAGCAGCCAATATACATATAAATATATATATACTTATTACTCGTTTCCTCAATCATCATTTTATCATGAGATTGACATATCTATTACTTGACTAGCGTTAAAATGTAATATTAACACTGTAATGACCGACAAGAAGTAGTACTGAAGCAGAAGTGAATATATACTTCGTTGTTAGAAATAGCTTTTAGTACGAATGATATTGATCATTAGAAAATGCTTTTCATTCAAGGGGGAAACGACGAGTTGTGAGTTTGTGTGATTTAAAACAATGTAAATCATTCTCTCTCGTAGATGAAATGTAGCATTTATTACTATTTTTACCTTTTGTACAACAAAATAATTGAATTCTACAGAATTTGTATTTCTGTATTCAGCTTGTTTTCTGTACTGTACAGAAATCATTGATTACCTCATCACTGCAGCGTTGAGTTAGAATAGAAAAAAAGTTAGCTATATATGTCAAAATAAGTTGGCTTTGTTTATTGA